AGCAAGGTGCTCAAATACTATCAAGAAATTGGAATTTTCGCCGTGACATTAGGCTGTTTTGCTTTCCAATCCTACAGATTTTTCGGAGAATAGAACTACATGACAAACCTTGAAGTGGAATTTACAGTAGACTGGTTCTCCCTTGGCATTGACAAGCTTAAAGGTATGAGAGCCATAGCCGTTCATAAAGCGGAAACCGTCGGGAGTTCCTCGATCCGACATCAAGAACATCACCTTAATGCATCGATAGATCGTAGTACGGTCGACTAGCGACAAACACCAAAAAGAACCTGGTGGGTGGACTCAGGTCGAAGTCCCCAGAAGTCCCACATCATATCTGGATCCTTCAGATGAGTCTGAGGATTTCTCTTTTGAGTGTGTATGAAGTTCGGGAATTGCATTGGATCACGAATGAAGAAAATCGGTGTGTTGTTGCCAACCTGAACACAATGTGTATATTAAGTCACTGAGAATTTAGAAAGGTCAAGTACGAATCCGATCGAGAAGCACAACTTACCAGATCCCAATTTCCTTCTTCAGTGTAGAATTTCACAGCAAAACCACGTGGATCACGAGCCGTATCCGCTGATCCCGATTCTCCACCTGCAATGGAAAGAAAGCTTTTCGGTTTTTCCTGTAACCTTAAAAGTAACAGATGGAATTGAGAGTTCTTAACTTGGTTCCTACTTCACGATACATGTGCGAGTGCAGCTCGTTATAAACGAGGGCACCCTAACCGACACTCTAGTTCATTACCATCAAACAAGTAATTACGTAGAAAATCTATCGGTAGCTTATTGCTGTAGGATTCCAGCTCTCTCTTATGACTCGCTTGGTGGTTCAGACCCCTTCTCTGCATGAATATCTTGGCGTTCATGGTTTCAAAAGATCGAAGTGAATCGAACGACCAGGAAGGCAATTTTTGAACTGAGGGGAAATCGCCTGATAGCTCTTGTGACAGATGTACAATCGGTGAGGCAATGCATGATCAGCGGAGAGTTGAAGTTGACTTCTATTTAGAGATTTTGATGCATCAGATCGTCGCACTTTCCAACTTCTTTTTCACTTTCACAGCTTGTTGTTTCCACTTTGTGAGCCTTATCCATACTTTTATCGCTAAGTGGTTTTCAGTGGTTTACTAGCCATGCCCAGTGGCGCTTTTCCTGGACTTCTGAACTCTCTTTCTTCCCCTAAACTTAATCACCTTCTACTTTACACTACATCTTCTCTTTAGTGCCGCCTAGGTGGCTGCCTCGGGACAGATCTTTCTCCCTTCATCGCAAGTGTACAAGTGATTGCAGAACGTGATTAGAAGCACTGACAGAAGTATAACTGAAAGTGGTTGTCCTTCAAGAAGGTAACTCACCAACTGTGGAAAAGCGAGCGAAACACGGTGTTTGCTTGCCGATCTTGCTGAAGATATCAGCTTTGCAGTACTTTGTGATATCATGAGTCACTTCAAACATGCCATGGGCTCCTGAAAATTAGTAATTGCAAATGTCACAGGGGAATAGAAGCGCGTCGAGTCCTTCATTTTTTTGGAAAATTTTTCTATATAGATTTTTGACGATTCATGTTCACCCAGTTCCATCACCCGTCGCTTTTGAAATTGAACTCGTTGGAAGAATCATTCAATGGAAGTGTAGTAAGAAATAATCAACAACAAACTTTGAAAGACTTCTGATCGTAGTAGTTGGGTGTGTCAAATCTTCTAAGAATAATGACGTTATTACCTCCTCCTTTAGCATGGACCACCCTCTCTGGGATACGTTCACGATCAAAATGAGCCATTTCATCCATGAACACCACATCTTGCATAAGCATTGGACCCCTGAAAAACCACATTTCAATCTTGATTTCCAGTGAGATTCATCTAAGTTGCTGACCACCCTAACCCTTAATGTCCCGTTCCCTAGTCATAGTTAAAAATCGCTTGAAAAGGGGCAGATAGATATGTCGATGAATTCTCTCTTGAGACTATAAACTGATGAGGTTTTGACTCTGGGAATGCCCAAGTTTCCTTGGATGACAGGTCCCCTAATAGTTCATTTAATCCGGAAACGAGCTACACACCTAGGTCCTACAGTGAGCACATTTGTTTTGTTGGCAATCGGAGCACCATTGGAGGTTGTCATCACTTTTGGTTTCTGTAAAAGGAGGCTGACTTGTGAGCTGTTGTGTTCATCAAGGATTATTTAAAATTACCGGCTGGCCACTTTTGTAGTTTTGTAATTGCAAATCGCTAGGATCATATTTCGGCATCTTGCTTATTAGGTGTCCTATTTCGAAAATTCCTAAAATAGATGAAACAGTCTCAGTGAATGATGGCAACGTTCAACACGCAAAGGCACTTCTCGTTCGAAAAGTTGAATCTAAAGTGACTGTGAAAGCATTAAGACTCTAAAAGAATGATGGACTAACTTGGGATTAGTCCCTCTGAACTTGTAGGAGAAAGTGAATCGAATTGCCGGAAAATGAGATGTCTCGAATCTGGAGAGAACGGGAGGGAGAGTCAAGAGTATTTCCAATGTCATTTGCACATGAAGGAAAGAGAAAACCAGGGTTCAAGTAGAACTTGTGGTTTATTACAATGGATAGTCCAGAGACCATAAAGAAAAAGATCATGAATCGAGTTTTTTTGCTGAAACGGCACAACTCGATAGTAGCCGTTCTGAGCGCAGGCAAATGGGCAACAGCAAAGATTACGCTAACGCTGATAGTGTGGTCCATCAAATGATAACGACAAGGCGAAATGTAGCCCGAATGTGCTGCGCTGGCGAAAACATTACCTTTGACCGTCGTTGAAAGGCGCTACGTCCATAGCAATATGTACTGCCAGTTGATTGTAATAGTAGTGAATCAACAACGACGAAGGGCTCCATTGTCCAGTTTTCTTTCGAAACCCAGGTGTGACTTTATGCTCGTTGTTGACGGGCTGTTCAAGACTTTTTCAAAATTTATGCGGACAGCAAAAAAAAAACGATTCAGAGGAAAAACGGCATGGCTTGTTTGGCTTAGTTTTGCCTTACTCTGTGCCAATTTTTGTCGCTTAAAATGTAAAAAAGTGAGATGTTCAAGTGTTGAAGATCAGGTTCACAATGTCCAAGGAATAGTAACTGCGAGAAATGGAGCCTTAGGCTGATTGGGCCATGCCTTACAACAGCGGCACAGATTTGAATGATCAATTCCAATGCGGAAACTGTCGCTGATCAAGAGATAATCACTGGAGCAAACAGCGGAAATTGCGGATGAACAGTTTGACCTAACAGATGATTTCGATGGATTTCTATTGAACCCATGATCGCTACAGAGTCCAGAAAACAAAGGCTGGGGAAGGGAGAGAGGGGAATGAGACCATGCCAAGGCGGAACCTTTTCATCCTTACGCACTTTCCTTGTAATAACACTAAATGGCGGAGAAAAACAGCAATTAAAAAGAAGACGAGAATGAAAACACTTGATTATGACGTCCTTGAGATGATGGGAAAGGTTTATTCAGAGGAGTCATGTAAGTAGGTTTATTCAGAGGACAGAACGGGTTTTGTGGTACTGCAGCAAACAATATGATGTTAGAGAGGTCTACTGCCATCAACTACATTCGTCTTGTAATCGACGAAGTCACATGTTCTGTGAGGCGCTGTACGTAGTGTAGGTTGACCTACACCCATTCCTTATCAGTGGTCTCTCCGATACTGTTTACTCCTATCCGAACTTTTCATCGTAAAATTAAAAAATCGACCAGTTGGGGACCCCGAATCAAGATACGCCATGAGTTTCACTCCAGAAAATCATCCAAGCATGCTAATTGAATGCCATCTTGGCTGCACGAATGAATAACATCCGCCAATTGCGGAATTGATGATAAAATCATGACAGAAGAAGGAAGTTCCCTATTTGTTCTATTCGTCAGAGATTTATGTCGGAAAGCAGTCCTCCGATAAGTAAAGACAATGGTAATTTTGTTTTATTTGTTGCCCTTTGTGAAATCACCATTTCTGAAGCGAACAAAATCTCATTGGAACGAGGAATAAAAATGAGATTGTACTCTACACAGAAGGTTATTAGAAACCGAGAGGAGGGGCTGAAACTATTCAAGCCGGGAAAGAATGACGTTTTCTAAACACAGCATACAAATGAAATCGATTTGCCGCAATTTACTGCGTTCTCCCAAGGACATCTGATAACCAGTTCTGATGTAATCAGAGATCAGAGAATATCGCTCATATTGGTCACCTCATAAAGGTTAAGGAAGAAGACTTGGGGTATTGATCAATCCCGTCTGAGGGATGCGCCTACGCACTCGACTCCCATTCAGAATCGTAGTGGCGTTCGATGCGTATGTGGTCTACACAATTACTTACGGTGTCCAGTCAATGTAGGAGTGAATGCATTAATCATCCCAGACGGTACTGCTATCAGTCAACCGATCCCGGAGAGGTGGAAACTTTGATTTCTCTGGGCAAATATCGATCCAGGATTCGATCCCCGAATAATGCATTTGTGACAGTGCACCATTTGCCACTACACAACCTCTACCCATTATTTACCGCTCAGATTTCTAAAATTAGAAACGGTGATAAATTATGGTGTTTGTAGTAGTTATGGATCGCGACCGAAGTTTCTCTGGTCTAGCGGAAAACAATGAAACAAATCTCGAACCAACACCGGCCTCAGTCTTTGAATTTCCATCGCTCTAGAACTATTAATTGGCTTCAAAACTGTGTGGGAGGATCAAAAGGATTGGCTTTTGCACTGGCACGCTCAACCTGTCATTGTATATATAATTTATGGCAAATGCATACCAAAACGGTATTACGGATTCTGGACGAAGTCGAGTTCGTGATGTATCTCAGAACGGTGGTGGTCAATGCCCGAAATTTTTCTTTCAATCAGATTTCTATTCCCCAAGATCACCTGCAGAATGGAAGGTTTCTATGCATTCTTTTTTCGTTCTTCTTCGGTAACGAGCTGTTGGTATCCCTATTCTTTTACTTACCCTGAATTCCGCCCGGTGTTCTCAAACATTAAGCTATAGAGAAATTCAGCCATGGGACCTAAACATTGCTAATTCCTACGAAGGCTTAGAATTTAACAAGAAGTTAAGGAATGGTGATATCTGAAAATGCTCTTCATTCTGACCTAAGCTATCGGTTTGAAATGGTTACCTAATCCCATTCGGGTTGAGAAAGTGGAAAACAATGTCCTGCTGGTGTGAAATATTAAGTAAATTTTTGATTAGGTCTTGGCCTTACTTTTATGGTTACTGTATTACAATTTTATTTGTTTAGCTGTTGTTATGGTAGTAATATGCAATGGTATGTTCGGAGTAGCATCAGAATTCTACATTCACAAAATCTATATCATAGAACTACATATTCATAGATTCAAAGAATCAGAGACAGCACATAGATAACAAGTAATCATATAAAAACAGTAAGTGAGTAGTAAATAGAATAAATAGTCTGATGCATTATCAAGAATATTCATAACACGGAGATTTTCTGATATTTGTGGTAGATGTCTCCGACTAGTCGCGCAGATGTACTCCTAAACTCGGCTATATTATCGTTATCATTATCATTATCGTAAACAATTCTTAAAAAAAATAGTGATTAAAATTTCGCTAGTTGCTGAAGCGAGAACACGCCAGGGTGTATCAGGTGGCTTGAGCCTTTGACAAAATTAATCCTGGTAGGCTAATTGTAAGTAGCGTCTCGATCGCGGGTTTGCAGAGCTTCTAGGTAGCTTTGCGAATTGTAGTGGCCGCTTGATGTACTGCATCAATCCTCCCAGACGAGTCTCAGACCAACTAAGTGACCTCAGAGTTATGGAAAACTCGATTTGTCCGAGTAGATATCTTTCCGGGATTCGATCTTCGAAGCATCCGTGTGTGATAGTGCGTCATTTGTTATACAGCACCTCTACCAGTTTACGGTAGAAGAAATAAAAACGGGAAGAGCTACAATCCAGCGTTGAATAATCTGGCTGGACCAAATCAAAAGAGTGTGAGTGAATTGTAAATAACAAGAAATAAGGGATGTAGAAAGAAAGCGATACGAAATGAGAGGTTGATAAAATGAGTTGCATTCTCATTGGCATCCATATGCTTTCTGCCTTGTGGGCTACAGTTACTCCACAGCGGATTCTAGTAATCTCTTCACGTTGCTATGATCACTTTCGCCATTACTTTTTACTTTTTTGATATCTTGAAGAACCAATTCGGCGAAGTATCGCACTCACCTGTAACATAAGAAGAGGCCAGCGGAGGAAATTGCAGCTGTCTCACTTCTGAAAGTTTATTAGAAAATTTTTTATTGCATTCATGAACAGGGTGCTCAGTTAGAGTAAATGAACATCCCCGTTTTCGGAGCTGAATTTTCGAGTCTCAGGGTTTTTAGAGAAGCAAAAGTCGTTTCAAATTGGTTTTCGTATGCTAGAATCGCAAGAAAAGTTTCCCAGGCCATTAAAATAAAGTGTGCGGCTTGATAGACTAATTCTGTATATAGAAATTTCAGCTTGGGGTTATGTGACTGGTGAAACAAACTCACTTTAGTCGCGTTATAATCATCTATCTTCTTTCGAAGTTTGTTTCCGAAATCTGGATGAACCTGAACAAAGTAATTTGTTGGGTAACTCATCACCTTAATGACGATTACTATCTTTAGGCACGGCTCTTACTTTAATGTAATTGAAAATAACTATTTCTTAGAATTATCACCTTTCCGAAATTCTGAATTGCTCGATCTTGAATGAACGGTTTACAGTCTTTCATTGCCGAGAAGATATTTTCCACAAGCCTCTCTCGTTCCTCATTGTTCAAGACCTTAGGGAAGAGTACCTTCGAGTCTAGTGACCGGCTTAGCAAATTTGGTCCTTACCTTTTCCCAGAATACTCGTGGCTGTTCAAAGTTATTGTCGTCAATGGACTCGTGACGAGCAACGTCTCCTGTCACTTTCCATTTGCTTTCTAAAGCTTTTGGGCATTCCACTCCGCCATTGAAGCTGTTGGGGAAATAGTTTGGAGCATTTTCTGAACATGCTTCAATATAATTTTCAATGAAATTGACTGAAAAAGTGAAGGATCAGATAAATATTGAGTGAATGGATGATGATCGCTAGAAGATGATGCCGAACATACCTTGATTATTGTAAGCTGCGAATCCGTCTCGTTGAGCATTGTGCGCTCGAGCTCTGAAGGGGCAATTAATGGGCAACTGGATATAGTTCGGGCCTAGACGATGGAAGTGGGTATCTGTGTAGGAGAACAGTCGTCCCTGAAGCATCTTGTCTGGCGAAAATTCGATTCCAGGAACCACATGAGCTGGACAGAAAGCGGCCTGTTCCACCTGAAAGGGCTTTCAACTTTCAGTGGGAGAACCATTCTGTTGTAGCGGTGCATTTATTTTTAGGTTCCTTCACCTCGTCAGAATAGAAGTGCAGAATGCAGCACCTGCTTTGAGTATAAACGAACCTCAGCGAAATAATTTTTCGGATTCCTGTTGAGCGTCATAGTCCCAACCGGAATCAATGGGAATTCGCCATGTGGCCAAACTTTGGTGACGTCAAATGGGTTCATCGGCCATTTTTCTGCTTGCTCGAAAGTCATCACCTGAAAGTAGGTCTTTGGGTAGATGGTCGACAACACGTCTAGGGGAAAACCAACCTGGATATAGAGCTTCCAAGAGGGGAAGTCTCCTCTCTCGATTGCGTTGAACAGATCACGGATCGCGTAATCAGGATCTTCGCCGGCGAGACGAGCAGCATCGGCAGCGGAAAGATTCTTGATCTTTGGCGGCTGGAATGCAAGAAATTTCCGGAAGGACTTTTCGTCAGGAGTTTTTAGAGGGATTTTCAAGGAGGATTTCTCCTTTGGGGCCAATCTTCCGGAAGTACGCACTATCTTTTGGTTATAAGTATATCTGATGCCCTGAAATTTGTAGAAATGGCGGAAATCATGTTCCCTCACAGTGCGCTCAACTCTTTTCTAATCGTGGATCCAGAGAAAACAAACCACACCACATCCACAACCATTTCGGGACTACTAACCACAGCCCGCCTCTGGAGGGAAGGATATTTTTAGTTTTTTTGTCTCAAAATCGATAGCATCACAGCTAAAGCGACTTAAAAGGTAACGAATTTGACGATCTCACGTCCGTACGCTTCGTAGCAACAGGGACTGCACCTACTCAACAAATTTTATTCCAATCTGCCTCCAATCAGTATGCTTCTTAACGTTCTAAATCTAGCAGTAACTGTTTTGGTTACCATTTTCACGTTCCACATTCATTTTAAACATATTTTCCGAAAATAAAATTCCACAACCAACCTTGAAGTGGAATTTACAGTAAACCGGTTCTCCTCTGGCGTTGACCATTTTGAAGGTGTGAGAGCCGTAGCCATTCATGAAGCGAAATCCGTCGGGAGTTCCTCGATCCGACATCAAGAACATCACCTTAATGTATCGATAAGTCGCATTTAATACGACTAGCGACAAACACCTAAACCTACTTGGTGTGTGGACTCAGGTCGAAGTCCCCAGAAGTCCCACTGCATGTCCGGATCCTTCAGATGAGTCTGAGGATTTCTCTTCTGGGTGTGGATGAAGTTTGGGAATTGCAGTGGATCACGAATGAAGAAAATTGGGGTATTGTTGCCAACCTGGACACAAAGCGAATAGCTGAGTCCTTGCGAATTAGAAAGCGCATTACGGTCAGTTATGAATCCACTCAAAGGCAACTTACAAGGTCCCAATTCCCTTCCTCAGTGTAAAACTTTACAGCGAAACCACGTGGGTCGCGAGCCGTATCCGCTGATCCTAACTCTCCAGCTGAAGTGAAAAAGTAGGTTGTTAAAGGTTTTTAATGACACTCAAAGGTACTGTGACGATCGAAATACTGAAAAACGACATCGTCTGCTTTACGGTTTCGTGAAGGCTGGTGGAGCTCATGTTGATCGATCTTTTATTTGTTGCAAGGTGTTTATGTTAACTTTTCTCAATAGATTGAAATTGTCGAATGCATGGCGTATTCAGAAAAGATTAACAATGCGGGTTCTTTCACTTTTCATTCTTTCATCTTCACTTACTTCATTGACTGAGTTTTCACTGTCTTAACAAGCTTTCTGTGNTTCCTTCATCTTCACTTACTTCATTGACTGAGTTTTCACTGTCTTAACCAGCTTTCTGTGCTTTCGCCTTCCCCCCCCGCGTAGGATATTCTTCGGAGTTCCAAAGCACTTGATTTTCAAAATTTTACCCTTTCGGATCATTTCCTGTCAGTAACCCTCGTAGGGTATTCTCCTTAAGAACCACCCTAGGTACAATGTTCTGTTGTTGAAAACTGTTCGCTTTACGTTTGCTCGTGGAAAGTACTGTGCTGTGCATAACTATCATAGTATGTAAATGTAAACCGGTTCCTTTCTCAATGGGAAAACTCACCAACGGTAGAAAAGCGTACAAAACACGGTGTCTGTTTGCCGATTTTGCTGAAAATTTCTGCTTTGCAATATTTTGTAATGTCATGAGTCACCTCGAACACTCCATGGGCTCCTGAAGAAAAATTGTAAGATTCTGAAGATTCCAATCTGAAATAGAAGACATTGAACTGGTTTGGGTTAACTACGACTGAGGATAAGTACAAGGGTTAAGGATTGGAGAAGGTCGGCTCTATTAGCCCCTTCTTTAATTTTTTCACTTGAAAGTTAATGCCATAGTATGGGTGCTTCACAGCGCCTTCCCACAGAACCTGCAGAATCGGTCGTAGTCACCAAGTAGCACCCTCATTAGAGCAGCCTTAAGCAACCAGGGTAGAAGGAAAGTGTGGCTTGAGGCGATGATTGCGATATATCTTTAGATTGATATTTTACAATGGCGTTTTTGTGTGGAACGTACACACTTGTCGCATTCACTGGGTGGGTTTCCCTCCGCTACGTTCATGCTTCTGGGAGCACTAGATTGGGCTTTTGAGTGGTCTACAAATGAGAGGCGCTCTATGTTTGCCACGAAGCTGAGTCTCAACTTATGAGCGGAAGTTAACCTCTTGAACCGATTTACTTTGGAAACTGTCACATTTAAGTATACCACATAACTCATTGAATTTTATCTAGAAACGGAGAAAGTGGGTAACGTACCTCCTCCTTTGGCATGAACGACTCGTTCGGGAATCCTTTCACGATCAAAATGAGCCATTTCATCCATGTACACTACATCTTGCATGAGCAATGGACCCCTGAAAAATCGAAATTTTTCGATCGCAGCGTGACGTTCGCATTTCTGATTTTGGGTAAAAAAATTGACCCACACCCAATACATAGTCAGTTATGACGACTGACCCGATTTCACTGAGCATCGAAATCAAGCAAAAATTTTTAAGGGTTCCGACTCTTCGAATAAAAACTAAGTTCTTCGATACTCCTACAATCTCGATTGTAAACCCCCATTTACCTTGGTCCAGCAGTGAGCACATTTGTTTTACTGCCAATCGGGGCACCATTTGAGGTGGTAATAATTTTCGGTGTCTGAAAAGGTAGCATTGGTAAAGGGTCCAAGTTGTTCAGTGGTATGAAGATCCTTACACTTACAGGCTGGCTCTTTTTGTAGTTTTCCAGCTGTACATCGCAAGGATCTGCAGGTTTCGGCATCGCTTTGACCGACTGGCTTGTTTCGGAGGTTTCTTAAATGAATAAGGTTCCTACTTAATGGCGATAGTAGTGACACGTAGGAGAGGAGCATGTTTCAACCTGAGGAGTTCAGGATGCAACATGGAACATGAAGAAGAAACAGAAGACATGAGAGTGGAATGCAGTGGGAGTGATAAGTGCAGACAAGGTTCGATAGGGAGATTCAGTAGCTGGCAATAGAGGCAATCGCCAACTCTACCACATAGAGGTAGAGAGTTCCAAAGACATCACCTAGGCAACGGCCTTTTTTCTAACTGAGCTTTTTCATTTCTTGTAAGAAGGAATGACTTAATAGCCATGTCAGGTTCAGTATTAACATTTCCAATGAAGTGTATAATATTGCCATTAATACCTATACCTCCTCCATGGTGGCATATGCCTGCCCATACCGTCGAGTTAGCGTCAGAACTAGGCCGTCCGATGGAATCAGGACCAATTCGTTTTTAATCCATCACCTACTTTAAGGGCCACTGGAACGGAGAGTTCGGAAGGTTTCTCTATTGAGTTGTTGATCATCCAAAAAGGCCAAGTGCATTAAGTCCGTAGCTCATGACAGCTCCAACGGCAAATTTCACATGGTAGAAAGACTTCAAAGCATTCTCTTCATTCAACAAACGAGTGTGAGTGAGGAAAAGTAAAATGAGAGACCAGCACGATGAAATTCCATTGCACCTACTAATTGTAGTTCAGAGACCAAAATTAGTAGAAAGTATGATGGTAGCTCAGTTTTGTAAGAAGTTCGGAAACTCAATGGAGACTGGGCATGTGGTGGAAAGGAGGAAATCTGGCAAAATGCTTCAGAAAAGTTTTGGAAGCACTCATCAAATATGAGCCCTGGAGGAGACAGCATCAGAGGTGATGATGACATCACTTGAAATTCTTGAAGAGGAAAGAACTTAGACACCTGTGTACGTAATGTAATGTGTCGAGTCGTATGGCGCAAGCAGTATTGAGCCGAAAATTTGTTCAAAAGACTACGTAGTCCATAGAGCTGAGCACTCTTGCAGATTGAGCCCTAAGGAACGTTCACTCATTTGCCGCTCTGAGCACACGGAAACTTTCGCTTTGACCGTCTATGGGACACCCGATTATGGCATGATCAGACCAAGAAGCATTAATTAGGTTTCTCCAGGAAAAGAGAAAGAACAAGTGGGAGGACCCTATGAAACGAGAGCGAAGAGGTAGTTGATGGGAAGTGTTCTAACTGTCTTTGGTGAATTTTTACGTATCTTCAAATTAGTAATCCGATTTACTTTAGATACTTAACAAAAAGGAGGAATTTGGTAGCCTTTGAAAGCGCAGCGACAGTCCTATTGAAAGGATTTGATTAAAATGGAGAACAGTAAGCCAGAGCGTACCTCGGTAGCAGCAGACGCACAATACACAACGCGACATGGACGACGTTGACGCCGGCAACGAATTTTCCGTGAGCGGGTGGGACTATGAAAAAGTTGAAAAGACGGTTCATATGTTTGGAGAGAAGAAAAAATGGCGACATGGGCTGTGAACAAGTACAAAAAGTCCCGGATATTTCCCCGTAACCGAGAGACATGTTGCTTCCTTGACTGACGTGAAAAAACTTTTATAGGGTGAGCGTTGAAGGTTTTTCTAAGATTCATTACCTACGATGGCAACCATTTTTCAAAACCAGTTCAGGCAACCGTTGCTATGCAGTCAACTGAATAGAGTTCTAAGTTGACATTCCCATTCCGACATGAGATCTTTTGTTGGGAGATATTATGAGCTTTGAGCTTAGGGTCAGATATATCCAGGAAAAGATAGTGAAGGCTTACAGACCTACCGTTCCGGTTATTTTTTCCTTCATGTTTTGCTTTTTGGACTTCATCTTCTATGCACGCCAATACAAGGGAATTCGACAGTGAGCAAAGTTATTAACTTCCTCTGTAACGCCCATATTTAATATTAGTTCGAGCATCAATTATGACAGGACTTATGACACTCATATCGACACGTACTCGCTGCCTATGAACGGAATCAAAGTAAAAACCTTAAGAGAAGGGGAAACCGAGAATGCCCTGCGCGGCTCCGCAAAATGTGCTCCCCCACAACTGTCACACGGGGGGCAAGTGGTCACCGTGGATCATTTCGAGGATGGTAAAGCATATTTCTAAGCTAACTCACGCATTCATAAACAAAAGGACTCAGAAATGAGTAACTGGGGTATGTATACCTGCAGTATAAACAGCGTTCACGATACTATACATGTGATTTCTCCAATTTTCTGTCTGCTCTTACAGTAGCGCTCAAAAGTATTCTGCCAAACGCTATTACGCTTTTTCGTTCATAACTTCTTTCTTATGGAGCAAATCGCCCGAATTTTTGAAATGCTTATCTACAGCATATTTTACGCCATCCAACCCTGTTTGACGGCAAAGCAGCAATATCCACATAACTGAGGGCAGGGTGTTTTTTGCGGCAGCAGACTTCCCTTAACCTAAGTTAGTGACGTTCGCAGTTATTCGCACCTTATGTGCATTATTCTTCTTTACTGTGTACGGCATTAGCGCTCGTACAATTAAGACATGGCAAAAAGGAAAGAAGTCCAAGAAGGACCAATGCCTGTATTTATAGTTGATTTTGAGTTTAAGCCTTTTGGGATATCTAGAACACGATCTTGCAGGCTAGTAGTAGTAAATATTCCCAATACACCCATGCTACACATATTGAAATTTCGCATGATTAGATCCAGTAGGAAAGAAGTTACGACTGAAAAGCACAAAGTACTAAAGAAGCATTTCGCCGAATACTTTTGAGCGCTACTGTATGTTCTACCCTTTGAACTGCCAGAATACCCATCAAAAGGACAGCACATGCAATTCATGTTTTCGGACGTCCTTATAGGCCATTATACCCCAACGCCATTATGACCGTTCCACCTTTCACAAACAGCTTTTTTGGCTACCATACGTTTCAGAATATTCTTCACCTTATCACCGACCTTTTATAATACTTTTAGATCTAACGAGGTGATGGGTACTGACTGGTATGATCCAGTTCCTTTCCAGCAGCCGAAACTGTTGTGAGGGCATTTGTTAGACACTTGCCTCTACCTTATTTGACCATTCTGACACAGTCAGGGTCTCCGGTGGTTTGTAAACGATGACAAACGACCTAGAAGACGACTATGCTATGCGACCTAGACGACATGGCATTTAAGTGAACCGAGGGCTTCATATCAGGTAACACCTGCTTACGCCCATCGCTGCATTTTTATCTAAATCGTAAACTGGCTGCAGAGAATGGTGAGAACTACACAAAGTTGCAAATCAATGAGTACTATGAGATCGCCAATCTGGAAGTATACGGAGAAGGCATCTAGAGGTTAAGCCGTGCTCCATAAACAACCAACATAATTTGAGAGAATTCGAGAATGTAGCGCACACTAGAATGTGGACTGGCTACCTTTATAGTTTCGGACAGTGTTCGAGAATGAGCTTAACGTCATTGCTATCAACAAGATACAAATGACTGAATAGTTTTCTTTCCAGCAAGTTTACGGAATGTTGTCATCAAAGTCAGCATTTCGCTGTATTGTCATCAAGGGGAACCCCGAAATGATGACAATACCACAAAGCAATGTTGCCCTTCTTCGTTTCTTCATAGCATCTCACAAGTATAATGAAGGAACCGGTTTTGCCTCTGATGTACTCTGGCCTGGTAATCTTTCAAAAAGCACGTGGGTACACTCCGGGTCACGCAAAAGCATGGCCTTTGTGGCTGGGCATGAATTTTTTCTGAGACAGAACAGGAAGTAGGGATAGGTAGTGAACCAGAACCGCCAACCGTTTTTGTTGTTGTTTTTGTATGTATGCGATTGATTCTTCTTTTGCCGTTTTCCATAACTTCTGCGGGAATGATAAAAATGGATTACAAGTTGGACCAAAGGAGTAATTCGGATGTACAGGAGCAAATGGGGAAAAAAACTTTGTGGTCAAGTCGATACCAGTGGGGAGGGTTTCCCTTCGCGAAGGGGTTGAATTGACTTCCGTTGCATGAAATGAGGCGGCTCTGTATTGCTCCTGCGTTGCATGTGCGTTTGATTGTGCGTATTGACTTGACACTGCGCTTGAGTTGAACTTGAAACTGCGCTCGACTCACCCACTGGCTCCGGACCACGCTCTGAGCCTCTCCTGCATCTGTTTTATAGGCACAGGCCTAGCCGTATCGTATTATGTACGGGTGACTGTGCTGTGCTAACATGCAGCGAATACAGTGGCAGATGCAGCTTGTAATAGCGGGAAACCCTAGTGAGCTGACCGCCACTGACTCATGCCAAACTTCCGTTCTTGTAGAGGTCAATTCTGCGTTTCCCACTTTCTCTAATTGAGCTGGAGTGACCGCCTAGGAGAGGGGACGATAGGGTTGGACTCCGTCCACAGGACTTACTCTTGTTCATTCCACTTTGTAGTTAGTTTGATTTTGTACTTCTTTACTGCTTTCGTCCACATCTATAAAAATCCTGTCATCAGTAATGTGACTGAGGTTTTCTTTGAGGTGAGGATTGAGGTGACTGAGTTTAGACTGAGGCAACTTATGACTCTTAAAAGTAACAGATATCGCTGCTGTCAAGATGCTCTATAGCAGTGGAATTGAAATGATGAGAAAGGGAGAATTTTTTGCGAAAATGTTGAACTGGGAGAGGTGAAAGGGCAAATGTTTATCAAAATATTTTTCTCCGTCAGCAGTCGAGCGCTTCATATTTTTTTGGATCCATTGCATAAACCGCACCAAATGATGTACTTCTTTCCCAGCTATAAACTTCATCCTTCGAATAAATGTCCCACGCAGAAGTCAAGTTTTAGGTGGGAATGCCAGCTGGCGCCGTTGCAACTCGGTCTGGATATCACACTCAGGCTTTATGCCTGGCCCAGCCGACCAAGGTTTTCATATCTCCAAAGTTGATTAATCGCAATCAAATAATCTCGAAGAGAAGGAAGGACATTGTAACGACTAGGCACGTTTTGTGCAGCCTAAATACTCTATCAAACGTCAGTACGGTTACGAATGGAAGCGAGTGTTTGGGTAGGGACTGGTTTATGTCAAGAAAGTTTTTTCTAGAGGCCTCTCTTGTATCAACTAGAATTCAAGAGCCAGAGGGAGCTCCATTCACGCATATATGCGCGATTGGCAAACGGATGACTGAAAATGTGAGAGACTAAGCTGATTAGCAGAGACTGTTTATAAGGATAAATAAATTGATACTGCCAAATCTTGTAGGATGCGCCACGCATTCACTTGACTTGTAAAGTTCACCTAGATTGTCTGATGGCTAACTTCTCGAGGGCAGCCCAGTTCCATTCAAATTCCAGCTCTCCATTCTTGGTTTTGATGCAACACAACGAATACGATCTCATGGACTGTTTGCTTTAGCAAGATGTAGTATTAGTCAGTGTCTACTTCAATATTGCAAATTTCTCAAGATTCAAATATTTTTGAAATTCTATATCATTGTTATTTACAGTTTTTATTTACTCACTTCTTATCTTTTTTAAAGTTGTTCACGGAGTGAAATAAGTTTTCGGGAAATCATCTCAGAGACGTTTTCACTATACAACGACAAATCAATCTGTCAAACGATGAACAAAAATTGTAAAGGTTTTATTATACGGCAAATATGGATACAATTTTACAAACATTTATGATACAACTTTGTTTTGCTTTTTACATTGTCGAGACCGATGATCATGCGCGTGGCTCTGGTGGTTCTGCCGACTGAACATTGAATTTTTTGGCTAGTACAGCTCATTACCAGATCAAAATTTACTCAAAGATGATTTTCAGAATTACATTGTAGCTATAAAAAGTTAGTTTTTAATAGTATTCAGGCACTGTAAAAAATAGAAAAAATGGTTGGCCAACTCTCGATAGGTGGGAACTTTAAAATCCGAAAAACTTCCGGGAAATGGGTTGCATTTTTAGCTAAAGCATGGCTTCTTCGTTCAGATCGAAAGTCTATCTCCAACCAAAAAATTCCTGGGTGAATTGGCTACTTACAAAAAGAACTGATGAAATGAAGTTCGCGAACGGCCCTTTGGGTTCCCATGGAGTCAGCTCGAAAAAGGGCAGTTTTTGTGGACGTGAGAGGCGAGGCAAGCTTAAACATTCTCTGGGTTCCTGGGCTGGGTTCCCTATGGATCAGGCGTGCAGTCTTTAGAGGACTTGCATTCCGCCTTCGAATTTCACTTCAGATGAGAATGGATCAGAAGTCCAGCACGCACCCGTATGAGTAGACGCCCTCCTATCAGGTTTTTTTCCTCGGGGATGGTTTACAGCACGTTCGATTTGAAGAGTACTCTAGGAGGACTGCACATAGTAGTCAAGACACAGTTAATTTCTAAGATATTTGGATGAGGTGGCGCAAAGTAATTTCCTTCAACCAACACGTTGTCAATAAGATACACTTAGGCAGAGAATCCGATTTTTAGTTAGTTAGCATTCCGGCATTACATTGTAGCTAGAGTTAGAACTAATTTTAACTAAGTTTTTAATTTTAGACTATTTATTTTGGTAAACTTGCATGTCCCTGAACTCACTTTGCTTGCTCTATAAGCCTCAATCTTCCTCCGAAGTTTGTCAGCAAAATCTGGATGCACCTAAATGGCAGTCAAATGCAATCAAAGAAATACGATTCTTGAAGAAAACATTTTTTCGACAGGGGTCCCGACCTGTTCAAAGTTCGCAATCATACGATCCTGTATGCGCGGTTCACAGTCCTTCATCATTACGAAACCATTTTCGACGAGTCGATCTCGCGCTCCTGCGTCCAGTACCTGACAAAAGACAAGGACAAGTTGTTTTTACAAATATGTTTTTTTCAATTTCCTCAGGTAGGATACCTTCTCCCAGAATACTCGTGGTTGCACGAAATTGTCTTCTGTGATGGATTCATGGCGGGCGACTTCTCCTGCCACGCTCCATCTACTATCCGCCGCTTCTGGACATTCAATATGTCCATTGAAACTGTTCGGGAAGTAATTGGGAGCGTTGCCTGAATGTGATGTTGAATTTCCTCGCAAATTTTTATGAAAGTGGCCTGAGGCGTATACCAGTGGCCAGGAGCACGTCGGGAGTGGGAAAGGGCGCCCCCATGAGTATAGCTTGAGTTCGATCTCAAATCATACCGTTACTGGGCCAACCTTGAATTCCATCTTTCTGAAGAACCCGTTCCCTAGGAGAGGATAAAACCATGGCGTGTACTTCGTGGATCCTCGAATCTTTGTCTAGGCTTGCTCCTCACCCAAAATGCCCGAATGAAAGCTCTCGCTATGGGAGCCCTACCCCAGACAGTCTGAGGCCTGCTAATTATTACGAAAAATTTCAATCTCGTTGTCAGTTGGGTTGGCTTTGCCACATTTCTAACTAACGACGCTTAGAACAAGGAAGGAAAGTTAGCTCACCAAGATTTTCCAGAACTCACCCTGACTATCATAACAAGCCTCCCCATCACGTTGAACGTTGTGTGGTCGGACACGATAAGGACAGTTGATTGGCAAATGAGTGTAATTAGTGCCCAGACGATAGAATTGCGTATCTGGATACGAGAAGATTCGACCTTGAAGCATTTTGTCGGGAGAGAATTCGATCCCGGGAACCACATGAGCAGGACAGAAAGCCGCCTGTTCCACCTGAAATGGTCAGCAACACATGTACGTATTGTTAAGCATGGACAGCCAGAAGGAAAAGGCAAGACAAGTGCTGTCGTTCTGAATCACCGAAACGTTAAGTTGCATTGGAGAGAGCCCTGTACGGTACTAACCTCAGCGAAGTAGTTCTTTGGATTTCTGTTGAGAGTCATTGTCCCGACTGGAATTAGTGGGAACGCCCCGTGAGGCCAGACTTTGGTAACATCAAATGGATTCATTGGCCATTTTGCCGCTTGTTCAAATGTCATCACCTGCAATCGAAACCTCTTTTTGGTCTCATATACCGTGATAGGGTGACCAACCTGAATGAAGAGCTTCCACTGAGGAAAATCTCCTTTTTCGATGGCATTGTACAGATCATGAATTGCGTAGTCAGGATCTTCGCCAGCAAGACGTGCAGCATCAGCCGCAGAGAGATTTTTGATTTTTGGGGCCTGAAAAGTAGGCTTTTCCTTTATGCTGTATCTCGAATAACAGTTTAGACTATCGAATCGGACCCTGAAATGGAATTTGCAGTAGACGGCCTCTCCCTTGTCGTTGACGAGCTTGAAAGTATTCGATCCGTAACCGTGCATGAATCTGAAGCCATCAGGAGTACCACGATCGGACATCAGAAACATCACCTAGAGAAGAATCGGAATCATGGCTAGAACTTTCGGAAACACTAGATGTTTTCCTCGTACCTGATGTGTAGATTCGGGACGAAGTCCAAAGAAATCGAACAGTGCATTTGGATCCCTCTGATGAGTTTGAGGGTTTCTTTTGAGGGCGTGAATGAAGCTCGGGAACTGGATTGGATCACGAACAAAGAAAATCGGTGTATTGTTGCCGACCTAAAACAAAAATGGTCCACGACGGAAGGGTCCACTTAAACGGGCCAAAAAAGTTACCATATCCCAGTTGCCTTCTTCCGTATAGAATTTGATAGCGAAACCACGTGGATCACGGGCCGTATCTGCTGATCCGGATTCTCCAGCTAAAAATGAGTGGCTAAGAATTTTTGGCTGTGGTCAGCGAATGAAATGGCTGGAATCCACGGCAGGGACCCGAGCATCTTAGTGGCAAACTTGTGAAAGTAATTTTTTTTGTGATGGACTTACCCACAGTGGAGAAACGAACAAAACATGGTGTCTGTTTTCCGATTTCACTGAACATACGGGCTTTGCAGTATTTTGTTATATCGTGAGTCACTTCGAATATTCCATGGGCTCCTGAAAAGAATAGGTCTATGTAGAGGAACGAGAAATAGAATATGAGCTCCTTGCTCTAAATTTGTAATAGAATTGAGGCACCCTTGCCGACTGTGCAGATAGTTGCCCTGAATGCCACCCGACCACTATAGGTGAGGTGGTGTTGTGGCAAGTAGCGCACTACCACACTGCCATGGTCACACGTTCGAATTCCGGAACAACATCCTCTCAGGCCACGCCAAGCTTTCTATCCCTCCGGGGTCGGTTAATACGAACCAGATACGTCTAGGAGGATAAAAGCACTGTCTTGT